GCACATGTTGAGGATTTTTTAATTTGGGGAGGGGTGGTTATGTTTAGCTCTGTTTAGGCCAGTGATTTTAATACTACTTTTATGTTACCTGTCTATTTTACAGGAAGAGACTTCTGCAGAAAGCCAAGCTTCAACAAAAACTTCAGATGAAACAGAAGCCAGCTTAGTTCCCTCTTCATTTGATGGTAGAGGTAAGTGCTCCAAACACAAATTATTTGCCTGTATTTTAACTGCTTGCTTTTCATCAGTTCGAAAAACTGAAGTGTTCTGAGGAGCTGTTGATGTTTAACATAAAAAAGGAATTAAACAGCAAACTCATTACAGAAGAAAAAAAAACCTGAACAAATGAAGCTGTTTCAGTTTCTTTCAAATGTGATGACCACTTATTGCTCATTCTTGCTTACAGATTTCATCAGCAGATTAAAATGGGTTACAGAGTCATAGAATCGTTTGAGTTGGAAAAGACATTTTAAGATCATCAAGTCCAACCCTTAATCTGTCACTGCCAAGTCCACCACTAAACCATGTTCCTAAGCACCACTTCTATACATCTTTCAAATACATCCAGGGACAGGGACTCAACCACTTCCCTTGGCAGCCTGTTCCAGTGCTTCACAGTCCTTTTGGTGAAGAAATTTTCCTCATACCCAGTCTAAGCCTCCCCTGGAGCGGCTTGAGGCCATTTCCTCTTGTCCTATTGCTTGTTACTTGGGAGAAGAAACCAAAACCCACCACGCTACAACCTCCTTTCACGTAGTCATAGATAGTGAGAAGGTCCCCCTTCAGCCTCCTTCTTTTCTCCAGATTAAACAACACCAGCTCCCTCAGCTGCTTCTCATAGGACCCTTCTGCAGCTTTGTTGCCCTTCTCTGGACCGGCTCCAGTACCTCAATGTCTATCTTATAGTGGGGGGCCCTGAACTGAACACGTTATTCGAGGTGCAGCCTCACCAGTGCTGAGTACAGGGGGATGAACACTGCCCTGGCCCTGCTGCACAAGATGGCTCATGTTCAGCTGCTGTCTACCAACATTCCCAGGTGCTTTTCCACCCAGCAGCTTTCCAGCCATTCTTTCCCAAGCCTGTAGCATTGCATAGGGTTGTTGTGACCCAGGTGCAGGAGCCAGCACTGGGTCTTGTTGAACTTCATACCATTGGCCTTTGCCCATCAATCCAGCCTGTCCAGATCCTTCTGTAAAGTCTTCCTGTCCTCAAGCAGATTAATACTGCTGTTTAACTTGTGTCAGCTGCAAGCTTAGTAAGAGTGCACTCGATTCTCTTGTCCACATCATTGGTGAAGATGTTAAACAGGACTGGCCCTAGTAGTGAGCCTTTGTTGTGTCATTGTTGCTCAAGGGCAAGTGTTGCTGTAGATGTCTCCATGTTGCTTTAGAGGAGATAAAGTAAAGCATGTTGACTGTTGAAAGTCTGTTGAATCACAGAATCCTTAAGGTTGGAAAGGAGCTCTGGAGATCATCTAGTCCAACCCCCCTGCCAAAATATTTTTGAATAAATGAGAGGTAAATAGTTGATTAGTCTTCATAAGCAGATTTGTCTTAAATAGCTGGCAGTCTGGAGTCTAGTATGTACCCTGAAATTATTCTGTGGCGTATGTTATTTCTGTCAAGTTTGTTAAACAAAGAAGCATAGCTATGGAGAAACATGATGCTGAAATGCCTCCTTTTTATTTACCTGTTGTCTGGGTGTGGGGATGCAGAACTTTTTTTTGTTGATAGTTTTTGGGTTTATTTCAATAAACTGCCACAGTAACAAGTGTCTAGTTTCTAGTAAATACTTAAATTTAATTGAAGTTCTTAAATCCGGAATTGTGTGGGAAAAGGTTCTGTTCAGTAAGACTCTTGTCTCGGAGGCAACACATGCATTATGTATTCAATTGCCCTAAGTGCCTCAGTAGATTTCTGTGTGTACAGAGACATGCACCAGTCTGGGCAGTTCAGTCCTTACCTTCCTGCTAATTCAGAAAGGACAGGTTAATCGGCCAGAGTGCTTTGAAGGGCCCTCTAAAGTTACTCCAGAAACATTAAAGTCATCTGATAATGTTTTTCCTCAAACACTATCCTCAGTTCTTGTCCCCCATAATATAGTAGAAGTTTGTGGTGGGTTGACCTTGGCTGGCAGCCAGACTCTCACCTAGCTGCTCTCTTCCTTAGGACAGGAGAAGAAAATCGGAGAAAAAAGTTTGTGGTTTAAGATAAGGACAGGGAGATTGCTCACCAGTCACTCATCACAGGCAAAGCAGACTTGACAAAGATTTATTTGTTGCCAGTTAAAAATAGGGCCAGAGAGTGACAAAACAAACCCAAAACTAAAACCACTTTATTCCCACCCTCTTTTGTTCCCAGGCTCATCTTCACTCCTTCATTGCTGACTCTTCTACCTCTTTCTTGCCCTGACTGGCACAGTAGGATGGGAGTTGACAGTTCATAACAGCTTCTCTTAGCAGGGAGAGCAACAGCTCCTTCCTTTGCAGGGGCACAGCCTATCTCACCATGGTCTTCTCTATGGGCTGCAGGAGCATCTTCTCCCTCTTGTCCTTCACTAACCTTGCTGTCTGCACAGTTGTTTTTCTGACACTTTTTCTTATCCCTCCTCTCACAACTCCTTTTTTTAAACGCTTTTGTAAATACGTTACCACAGAGCTGCCACCGGCATTGCTGGTTGGCTCAGGTGTGTCAGGCATTGGGTCTGTTTTTGAGCCAGCTGGGGCTGGCAGTGTCCATTGTTTCACAGAGGCCACCCCTGCAGCGTCCCCCTACTTACCAAGACCTTGCCATGTAAACCCATTACACAGTTCAGTTCTTCAATGAAAGCTTTTTCTCATTCTTAAAGAAAATTTAGATTCTGTTCTGTATTTGCTGTGTGATAGGAATATTTACAAAATTAATTGTGAGTTCTTTGGAAACATTGATACCTGTGAGTGGTGGTGGGTGATGTTCTTGTACACTGAGGCACATGAGGAAGTCTTTCACCTAGTACCTATTTCTGTAAAACTGTGAAGTTTTTAGAAAGTAGAAATTACTGATGTGGCCTTATATGTGAAAGCTGCATGAGTGAGATAAATATTAAAGGAATTTTGTGTATAAATATAGCAGAAGTTCATTATTTTTAAGAAAAATAACTTAGAAAGTGAGCATGGAATTTTGTATGTAATCAGTGTGATTTCCAGTTGCCGTTTGATTGGGCTAAATATATGTATATAGTGCTGGACAATGTATGGGGTGGTTACAATTCTAGAAAGCTTTCTGGAGAAATGAAATGTGTGAGTGTCTTACTTCAGGCATTCCTCAGAAGGAATATGGTACTCTGCTGTATTTGCTAGTTCTTGATTAACTCTTGATCCTTTTTCTTTTGCATATGTGAGAAATATTTTTGAGACATCTTTGTCTTTTTCCTAACAGCATTTCCTGAAACACCTGCAGATGGCTCTGCTCAGCCACATGTGTCTTGGGCCATGGTACTTTCACAGCCCCCAAAGAAAATTGTGTCATCATCAGTACCTGAAGGTCTTTCCAGAGGCAAAGGCAAGCAGGATAGTGAAGTGAAGGTACTTGAGAATTGTCTGCTGGAAACTAATTTCTGTCACTGTGTGATTGTGTCTCTTGATGTGAGACATTGCCATTTTTTTCCTAGGCTCTGTACAGTGTCCACTTCTAATGTAGCTTTTTAAGAAGTAATATAGCGCTACCTCGTCCTTATTAGCATTTTTCTTCTCTTGTAGAGGAAAAGACTAACAAGATGTCAAAAAAGTGCTACTCCAGCAGCACGAACTTTCAACTTTTAGGCTGGACTTTTTTCAGATTCCTTTCCCTCAGAGTGAGACACACAACATGGAACTCTTGCCTTATTTGGGTGGATATTTCATACTGAAATTCAGTAGTCCCAGAATAGTTTGATAACTGTGCAGTGTGCTTCAAATGAAGATTTTAATTTTTTTTCAGTAGCTCTGAATTTTTAAGATATCTTGAATTTTCTTGTTTGCTTAATGTCCTAGCCTGGATTGATTAAGATACCCTTCAGTTGTGTGAAAGTGTGGTCGTTTGTATTTATGTTGGTAGGTGGTATTGAGATAAACCAATTTCTAATGATTATACCTCATGACTTTTTCCCAGCAGTCAGAAACAAAAAACGATGCTAGTGAAACTGAGCCTGAAGAAGGGTCAGAAAAGAAGAAAAAAAAGAAGAAAAAGAAGAAAAAAACAAAGTCACCCACCGATGCGGAGAAACCTCAAAATGAATCTACTACAACACAGGAACCACCAAGGATTGAGGTACGGTGAAGAGATTTTTGTTGGTGTTTTTTTAAGTTATATAAGTGTATTAGAAGACCAGATGATTACAGAGTTTTGTACAAATTTAAGTTCAAGTACATTTGTAGAGGATATTGGTTCAGGTCCATTTCAGTTGAGATGATCGTCAAGTTGCTGGTTGGGAATAGTTATGCCGTTTGCCTTGTCACATGTTCAGTGAGCACAGAGGAGTCAGTACAAAAGAGCCTTAGAAGTAAATTTGGAGTGGTGCATCTGAGAATCTAGATGTTAACAGGTTACAGTAAAAGTCCAGTTTCCTAAATTAAAAACATTCTGCAGTAACTGTTGCAGAAAGCAAAGTGTACAAGGGATGGAGAATATACTGGGTACCATAGTGTGCCACAGTCTTAAAGAATGTGGCACTGGTATTACAATTCTACCCATATCACATTTGGAAGCAATTTCTATGTAACACAGTTGTCATTGCTTCCATTCCTGATTGTTAATTCCATTTTTTTTACAAATTAGTATAGCTGTAATATGGATATTAGTATTTTGATATTTTTGTGTGTAAGTGGTCTGAAGGCTTTAGAGTCTCCCACGTTAGAGAATTGTGTGGTCCATGGTTTAACAGTGCTTCATTGAAAACCCAGTGTTGTACAGCACTATGTACTTGTGTTGATCTATAAGTTTGATCTAGTGTTACATAATACTCAGTCTGTGAAATAAAAGCATAAAGAAGCCTTCCTAGGTGGCTTCAGTTCTGTATATGGAATGTGAAGCAGAATTATGGCTACGCATTCTTTTGATGATGCCATTCACCTGGAACAGCACAAGAAATGATTGTTATAGATGTCTTTGTTAGACAATTACAAGTAGAATCAAGGGTCTGCAGGTTCTTTCCCTCATGAGAATATCCCTGTTTTTACTATATGCTGCTGTCCAGTGTCTGACCTGTAAATGACTTACCATCTGAACGTAAAGGGAATAGCAATATTCAAGGAAAATAGTAACGGGGCTAATTGAAGACAAAAATGGTAAACAATGGCATAGAATTATGGAACAGAACATATGCATTGCACTGAAATCTGTGATGTAGATGCAGCATCTGTTGTGGCAGCAGGGGACAGCTTTCAGACCCTCCTGGTTTGCTCAGAATGCTTGTGTGCTATTAGTGTGAAAAATGGGTGAGACACTTTTATAATGTTCTTGATATAGAACAGCATGAAAGGATCGTACACACAGAACTTACAGCCACCCAGAATGTTTAAGAAAGTTCTGCTATGTGCAGCCACTCACTGGAGCAATATATTGGATTGCTTGTTAGTTTTATAAAACTCACTCATTTATAGACACCGTTAAGAAGCATAAATTGATGCATGAGCTGAAAAGTAATCCTGTTTTTTTATACACAGTGATAGGCCCTGAGCTAGGTATTTCCCCTGAAAAAATAAAGCTGCTTTTGATACTGAGGTCAGTACTGGCAGTACTGGTCAAACATGCAATCAGTGGTGGAAATTATTAGGAAAACAGAAAAGAAAATGGGTTATGTCAATACATAAATTCAGAATGTATCCAATCTAAATATAGTGTGGATTTTGTTTTCTTATGTATCCCCAACTCCTTACAAAGATACAGATACTTGAACTAAAATACACAAAAGGCTCCAAAAATAATCAAAGGTATGAAGCAATTTTTGTGGGAGGCAAAACTGAATAAACTAGGACTTCTCAGTTTGTAAAATAGATGACTAAGTGACAGTCAGACGTGATAAGGAAATAAAAAAAAAGTTATTCGATCTTTGTCCTCATTTTGTTTAATGTCCTCTGGTTCTTACAGGTGATGAGTTAAGAGCAAATACAGGGAGGTGGAACATCACACTATAAGCACTAGAGTTTAATTGCTCATCCTGCTACAGGACATTGCAAATGCCAGAAATTTATTCGAATTCAAGAAGTGTTTGGACAGACTGAAATAAAAATTTCTTCTAGCGAGGGCTGTATAAATGTGAAGGTACTAGCTCTAGTTTAAGACATCCCTAAGCAAAGAGTGTGTTAATGAAAAACTTTTCCTTCTCTTGCAGTCATCTTCTGGCATACTCCCAAGCTTCTTTAAAAATAGTTCATTGAGTGAAGTGTGTCTGTCCTTATGCTAGAGCTTCGTAGCTTGGGCTGCTTAAATGAAGTCTTTCAGGCTGCAAAATAAATGTTGGTGTGTTCAGTAGCATTGTATCACAGTTAAAAAGGCCTCTCAGAAAGTGGGAGGAGAAGCAATGGAATGAAAACCAAGCTGGTGGATCAGCTTCATTATGATTGAGATAGTGGATATAAGGTGACCAGTGCAGAGCAAGCTCCAGCCTGTCTGTGCTTAGTTAATACAGAGTCTGGATAATGTGTCCTCTGCTAATAAAATTCACTGTTGTATCTAAGCCTACGTAATGACTTGAGCAATCTGTTTATTTCCATACCGTAGTCAAGAGTTGCTACCCTTTTGCCTGCCCTTTGTTGTTCCTCACTACTCGCACATTTAAGTCAGAATTGCACAGCTGGAGACAGTACTGGAAGAAGAGGGAAATTGTTTGGAAGGCTGTTAAATGATCTGAAGACGACTCTTTTAGGAGCCATTTACCTCTAATTATATGTATCAGCTGACAGCAGTAACAACTTGCTGTTGGAACTTTCTCTTGTAAGCTCTAAAAGCCCTGAATTTAGCTGCGGCATAGATGACTTAACCATTGTAGTGCTGATCATAATTGCTGACACTGTACTTGGCTTCTGAGTTTTCGTACAGTGAAACTAATTATGCTGAGTGGTTTTGATAAGCAGGGAGAAAATAGTTTCTGCGTAGGAAAAACAGGTTTGAGAGTATGGACTTGATAGTTCTTACAAAATCATCTTCTGATTTACTTGTGTAGGATGCTGAGGAGTTCCCTGATCTGGCAGCTGCCTCTGATAGAAGAAACAGGCTAGGATCTCAGAAATCATCATTTACTCCTGCTGTCAGAAAGCAGTCTGAAGTAAGTAATCGCATGACATCATGTGAATGTTAAGAAAATAAGCAGTAAAAACTGCAAGTTTTGAACGAGACCAAAGGTGGAATTCTTTTGACTCAATGTAGGTGTTGATGGCCTGAGGCTCTGCCCATGCCAGTCCCCTTAGGTACTCTGTGGACAATGAAGAGCTAATCACTGTATTCAGTAGATTGTATCATACCAAAGGAGATAGCTTTTTGGTCTCAGAACTGCTGCCAATTCCAGTATAGACACCTCTCTTGTGTACACTCGAAGTTAGTTGAGATGAATTGTGTTTATGTAGGCTTTCTTCCTATAGGTAGTGTTCTAGTTTACTTTTACATTTCATAAAAATAATACTAAGGCACTTTCAATTTCTACTTTTGCTGTTGGTTTATATAATCAAATTTTAAGGTCACCTGAACAGTGACTTGCACTTTAGATGATAGAAACCTTTTAGCTTTGTAAATGTAAGTGGGATATAGGCTTTTATAAAATTGTAAAGACATGATCAGTAAACCACTTAGACTCTTCTGTAACAGATACTTGAAGATGAAACTGCCTTGCTGTTTTTATTTTCCTTCCAAATCTGAAAAAAAGAAGAAAATCGTGAGTCTGTAGCATGATGGCCAGTAGACAATCACACTTTTAGAAGGCCTCAGTAAGGAATTCCCAGAGCATTCTCTTCTCCAGGTTGAAGAACCCCAACTCGCTTGGCTTTTTATTACAGGAGAGCTGTTCCATTCACCTGTTCCATCTCTAACCGTTCTTGTGCTCCTCCTCTGGACCTGCTGTAAGATGTCCATGTCTTTCTTGTGCTAGGGACCCCAGAACTGCACACAGGCCTCCAGCTGGGGACACATAAGAGCAGAGTAGAGAGTTAGAATGACATCCCTGGAGTTGCTGGCCACATTTCTTTTTAATGCAGCCCAGGATGCAGTTGGCTTTCTGGACTGCAGGCGCACACTGCTGGCTCATGTACAGTTTTTTCATCCACCAGTACCTCCAAGTACTGATGCTGGGGATTGCCCCAGTTTAGGTCTAGAACCTTGTATTTGGCCTTGTCGAGCTTGATAAGCTTCACAAAGGCCCAGTTCTCAAGCCTGCCAGTGTCACTCTGGATGATATCCCTTTACTGAAGCATATCAGCTGTGCTACTAAGCTTGGTGTCATTCACAAACTTGCTGAGGGTACACTCAGTGCTCCTGTATATGTTCCATTTGAATTTAATATCACCTCACCTTACCCTTTTCCATGTGTCTAAATAGTTTCTCTTCCTTGTCACCTTTTGTCTCTGAATTTCAAAGATCCATCTAACAGAAGAGCCTTGGGATAGTTGGTCTCCCACACTGGATGGAACTCCCAAGGTGGATGGACTGTCAGGGAAGCAAGCTTCATCTTCTATATTAGAAAGAAAGAAAATGCAGGTAACTGAAGTCATGTTTGAAAATAAATTTTCAGTTCAAAATGACAAAGGAAATTATCATGTTTAAACGTAAGACTTAAGTCCAAGCTCATCTGCAATTGCATTCATACATTGTCATTCATACTCTGAGCTAAGTGACAAGACCCTCTTAATTAGAAGCACTCAGTAATGATTGCTAAATGTAATTTAGTTTGTGATACAGTGTTTAGGGAAAAAGACTACATTTTTATTAATGTCTACTACTAATGTAGTTCCAGATATCATGAATTTTTCTTTCACTTGTCTTATTTGGTCATGGCATAAATCCACTCCAAAATGATAGTATTAAGGAGTTAAGAACCTCTTAGATGTCATTCTGGTAGATTAAGACAGGGAGGCAAGGAGATCCATTTAGTTTGGGGCAAACAGGAGAAATACAGAGCATCAGTGAGGTCAGTAAGTAGTTCCGTGTTGGTGAGTAGGTTCTGCCATAATTGATGCAAGATGACATCCTAGGCTCAGAAGGAGGAGGTCACATTCCTTAACGGTATTGTAACAGAAGCTATAATGAACTGATCTCCAGGGTAAGACTTCTGGAAGTACTGAATCTGAGAGTCATTTGCTTAGTATGTTCTCCCTTCATAGTTTGCCTTTTTGTAGTCTGTTCGTTCGTAATCTTTTTATATTTTGAACCATTGTCTGTGGTGCCAAGTGTGGGACACCACTTTTGCCTTCTCTTCAAAGCAGACAGAAAGATTACTGCTTGTGAGGAAGGATGTGTGCATAAAGATGATGACAATTCTTTTTAATAAGGCATTGAAAGTAATGATATATGTGAACTGCAGTCATGTACCGTGGAAGATTCACAGAGTAATTTTTCTGTACTTGTAATTTTCAATTCTGGTAAGCCTTTTCTTTTTCAAAGATAGGTGGCAGTCTGACCAAAGTGGGAACGCCTCCTTTATTAAAGACTTTTTATTTATATTCTGTATTCAAGTAGCTATTCAAGTTATTTGAGCTGTTTCTGATTTTTTTTTTTTCACATTAAAGTCGATGTGTATTTAAATATCAAAGTGCTTTCATTGTATCAAGTTAAAAATCAGAAGTGTCATGGATGGAGATATTAAGAGTGTGTTACACACCTTACAAAATAACATTCTGAAATGGAGAGCATTACTAATTGATACTGAACTTGTTCAGGAAACATCCAGGAGCAGTGGAAAGAAGAGTCAAATTCCTGTGCAGTTGGATTTGGGTGGCATGCTGGCAGTCTTGGAGCAGAAGCAGCAAACAGAGAAGTCAAAACAGTCTTCTAAACCTGTGGTGTTTTCAGGTACTGGTTGCAGTGAAATTTCCTTCCTGTCAATTTGATTTTGTTTTAAGTATTCAGAAATTAAATGTAGCCGGATTTCTGATCTGTAATGATGTCTGAATATGCAGGCAGGAGCACAGTTCACAACAGACAAAAGAAAATGAAGGGTCTTTAAAAATATATTCTTAAAGCATGGCAATTCAAATTGTTTGAAGGAAGACTTGGGGGAAGAAAATCTTCAGGACAATGACTTGTAAAAAAGAAATACCTTACACAAACGTGAGAGGTGATTCAAATTCTGCTTTGACAAAAATGCTAATGTTTGTGGAAGACCTTGCTTTTTTCTTAAGAACAGGTGTGTTACTGTTGTGATCTGAACCTGCAGGAAGGGACTAAGCAGTAACAAAGGTTTTCTTATGCTCCTCTGAAATCCTAGAGCTCTAACTTATGTCAAAAAGCTCCTTTGCAAACAGAGGGGTTATATGAGTCAGCCCCAGCCAGAGGATGAGTTCTGCCATGCCTGATAATTATGGAATAATTGCTGTCAACAAAATGTTAGGTTTTGGTGATGGAGAGACTCTCAGACCATGTGGAAACAAAGCCAGGAAGCAGAAACAAATAGCTCAGTGACCTTATTGTAGGTCAAAATTTAGTGTTGGCTGTGTTAGTGCAGTATATTTTGCAAAAAGAAGCATAGTGTTGGCTAGGATTTAGCGATAAATTTTCTCTCCGTATTTGAGTAAAGAATTTTTTAAACAATTATTTCAGAAAGAGACCTAATCATGAGAGAATACATCTCACAATGTTTAATATGATAGCTGAACTTTTAATAAAAGCTCAAAATACCAAGCATCAATGAGATCTTCCTTCAGTAACTCAGAGAAACTGTAAGATGCTTTTAAAAATACTTTTCCTGCAATTGATTTTTTTTGTTTTTTTCTTCTGAGTCAAGCAAACTCAGTGCTGCAGAGGTGCTAATAACCAGTTTTATTTCTATAAAATTATACAGTACATGGGTTGGTGCGACAGTGGAGCAGAAAGTTATGGGTCACAGTACCCATTTTCTAAGAGTAAATTGTATCTAAATCTGGTGCAGGAGAGAAATTGATGTGTCATGTTCATATCCTGGAAGGATAGAGCAGATGTTACCTCAGCTTTGCACTTACTTTGAACAGTCAGTGCACCCATTTAATTGATGTGTACACAAAATTTAGCTTTAGTTTGAGAAGTGGCATTGTGCTAACCTCTGGAACCAGAAGAGAAACGCAGTGAACAAGAAGGACAAGGAGTATGCAGACAAAATTATTCCCTTCCACTTACCAGATTTACTTAATCTGGTAAATAATGTATGGATGGAACAGCATAGTAATGTTGTAATTACTTGGATTTAGATTATGTTTTGGAGATACATCAATAGTGCAAAATGATGCAAACTGTTAAAGCCATCAAGTTCAGGAACATGAGAACTCTGAATTTGGAAGGAATGAGGTGATGTAGACAGTGAAGGAAATACCATGTGTCTGCAAGATGTATACTTACGTACTGCTTGAAATCCAGCTTCAATTCCTGTAGCCACCTATGCTAACATACTGCTCAACGTTCTTGGCAGTGTTCTCAATTTGCCTTTGTTACAAAGCCACAAAAGAAAAGCTGCAGTGTAGCAGTTTTATGAAGTAAACTCTGTTCGCTAATAGTGCTGTATGTGATGTTGGAGGATCAGCATGTAAATACCTTGAAAGCAATAAATGAACAGGGCTTAAGACAAGCTGCCAGAAGCTTTGAGTAGTTTTTGGGGGAGAGGGGTTGCCTGAGGCACAAAGGTGTCAGGCTCATTCCACTGATCCTTACCTCATCCTCTTCATTGACTTTCTAATGTAACCTGGTTTATATTGCAAGTAACTGAAGTTTGACAAAGTGCTCTCACAGGATACAGCAATGTCGACTGATAGCAGTTAAAAAGGGAGGATAGTTTTTAGGGTGTTAGGTCACGGTGTGGAAGGTCCAGGTTCAGTGACTTTGCCAGTCATTTAATGCTTCTGTGCTCTAAATCCTCTGAAAAATGTGTGTAAAGTAGACATCTCCTGAGACCTGTGCTGGTTAAGCAAAAGAGACTTAGCTGTAGCTTAGAGTTACTCATTACCCATCTGCAAATGAACTTCATCCAACTTCATTAAGGTGTAACAACTGGTAGGAGTAAGTGTTACAGATTATTTACAGATTTATTTAAATCTGCAATACTGCAGCTTAGTATTTATTTTAATGCAATGCAGAATATATGGAGGATGCAATTGTCATGAAACATAGAGATTTCTGAAGGTTTACCAAGCCAGTTTGGCATGGTATTGAGGGTAGCTTGCAGTGCAGTTTTTGCCGAATTCTGCTTGGGAGAGTTAATGACAGATGATTGCCTATAAATATTATTAATAACAACGCAACAAAAATTTAATATGTGTATACTAGTCCTAATCTAGTCATTAAACTTGCATTGGATCCTGGTTTAGGTATTTGATATTGTTCTCTGATGCAGACTTTCATTTTTTGTATCTCAGTTGGTGGTGCTATACCGTTGCTTTCTAAAGAACCTACTACAGCCACAAAAAGTCACCGATCAAACCAAGAAAAGATGCCTCATAATCCTTTGGATTCCAGCGCTCCTTTGGTAAAGAAAGGGAAACAGAGAGAAGTTCCTAAAGCAAAGAGACCGACATCTCTTAAAAAGGTGCTCATATTTTTACCTTAAATAGTACAACATAGGCTAATGTAAATTCAGTATTAATTTGTGAATCTGTTAAACCACCTGGAGTGGAGATCTGCATCTCAGCATCTGCTTGTCTAAATTCTTTCCTTGGGTTAAAAGGCAGGGGAGAAGATCAAGGTCTTGCTATGTAGCATGTATGAATTCTCCCAGAATGTATCTCACTTAAATCACTTGATAGTTGAAGAAGTGCCACTACAGAAGTGTGAACACGTTGTTGGTACTGGCTGGCGTCCAAAGAAGCTTTATTTGGTTTGGACAAGCTATGCTGATTTGCAGGACTAGGGAGAAAGGATCAAAGATAGAATTTAATATTTCTGTGCTCTTCCAAGCCAGAACTCCAGCTGGTTCTGTAGCAACTAGTGTTAGATCCACCTGGAGATTTCTCTTGTATCTCCCCTCTTTGCCCATTCACTTTGCTTCCTGTCATGTCTTCTATACAGAGGATTTTGAGATAACACTCCATTGCAGGGTTACTTTTTGATCTAGAACAATTCTTACAGAGCTAGTTAATCTACATTCTACATGAAGGTAGTGGTCAGTCTGTGCTGCTCAGTAGAATTTGAGAACAACATGTAACTCATAACAAAACTGTAGGGGGTGATACCAATTACTGTGCCTTCTGGCTGTTCTGTCTTCATGTAATCTCTTTTCTGAAGTAGATTTGAGAAGATGGGGATTACTTTTTCTGTGTAATATCTGTGTTCTGGCAACTGAAGGATGCTTATTTTTGTTCTTTGTTCATCTTTGCAAATGCGAATGGAGAAGTTTACTTTTGCAGTTAGGTTCTGTGGTGTGATTACAAATTTTGGGTAGACTGGCTGAGCTAGTGGTCATACATACAATAACTGCTTCTTAGCAGCTGTAAGAGCAGAGAAGGAAGACGAGTTCCAGGGCACTGATTATTGCTTTCACCTAGAGTAACGTGTCTGCATCCAGCATACGTCCTACTTTCCTTCCGTGTACCACACAGTTTAGCTATCCATGGTAATTTCTTCTCTTTTTCTTCAGACACAGTAATCTATTAGTCTGACTCAAGGGAAATAAAGGGAAATAAATAACAGGGAAATAAAGGGGAAGAGAAGTTGTGCATATATACATGCGTGTATGTACTTGAGTGTTTGGTCCTATTGCCACAAATTGACAGTCTGAAGAAGAATGATAAAGAGGGAGGCTTCACCTGCTTCTCTGCATTGAAGCAATTCATTACTCTAACTTTAGTTCTGCCTTTCATCCCTGGCAATTATTTTCTCCACCCAGACACTGATAATCAAGGAGAAAGTACTTTTCTGTGTAGATTAAGGGAATATATTTTCTTCTTTCTATGTGCAAATTAAAAAAACCTCCAAATGTTGTAAACTTGACTGATAGCGCCAGACCTCTTTATGAATGATTTGTATGTAACGTTTGGTGAGAGAAACTGCTGTGTTATCTGTGTGACATTGAATTGATTTGGGCTTTACATACATATATATATTTTCATATTTTAGATTATTCTGAAAGAAAGAGAACAACGGAAACAGCAACACCTGTTAGAACAGACAGCAGTACCGAAAAATGAAGATAATATTTGTAAGTCTGCAGAAAATATTACAGAAGATGAAACACTTCCACCGGATGATCAAGCAGGTATCTTTCAAGAGCAAGCTGTAATAGAGTTTGTAGATGGAGATTTGATAGTCAGCAAACTTAGTACTTTGAAAAATGTGTACTAAATCTGTTTAAAAAGAGGTACAATAATAAAGTGAAATTCAACAAGATTCATGAAGTTCACAAGGCCAAGTTCAGGGTCCTGCACCTGGGCTGGGGCAGTCTGAGTGGAAACTACATGGAGAGCAGCCCTGAGAAGGACCTGGGGGTGTTGATTGACGAGAAGCTCTGCATGACCCGACAGCGTGCACTTGCTGCCCATAAAGCCAGCCATATGCTGGGCTGCATCAAGAGGAGCAGGTTAAGGGAGGTGATTCTCCTTTTCTACTCTGCTCCAGTGGGACCGTACCTGCAGTACTGTGTCCAGCTCTGGGGCTCCCAACACAAGAAGGATGGCGACCTGTTGGAGCAAGTCCGGAGGAGGCAACAAAGATGATCAGAGGGCAGGAGCACCTCTCCTGTGAAGAGAGGCTGAGAGAGCTGGGCTTGTTCAGCCTGGAGAAGAGAAGGCTCTGGGAGACCTTGTAACAGTCTTTCAATACCTAAAAGAGGGGCCTACAAAAATCTGGAGAGGGACATTTTACAAGGACATGTAGTGACAGGACAAGAGAGAATGGTTTTAAGCTGAAAGAGGGTAAATTTAGATTGGATGTTAGGAAGTAATTCTTCACTACAAGGGTGGTGAGACACTGGCACAGGGTGCCCAGAGAAGCTGTGGCTGCCCCATCCCTGGCAGTGTTCAAGGCCAGGTTGGACAGGGCTTGGAGCAACCTGGTCTGGTGGAAGGTGTCCCTGCCCATGGCAGGGGCTTGGAACTGGATGAGCTTTAAGGTCCTTTCCATCTCAAACCATTCTGTGATAAAAACCAGAAAAAAAAAAGTATGACTTGTTTCCCTACTACCACAGAGTGTTGTAATACTGAAGTAATGACACTTCAAGATATAGTTGACAAGTTTGTCTTTTTGCAATGCTTTTTGCATTTTTTCATTGAAATGCCTTTATTTACACAATAGCTGTTCCTGTAACACAAGTTACTGAAGAGTTTCTGGAGAACACAGGGATCAAGGAATCAACAAAAGCTTCTATGACCTCAAAGCAGACCGCTTCAAATCTTCCAAAAATCCACAGTAGGAATTTCAGAGAGTAAGTACTGATTGTACTGATGTTTTTTCATAGTGTCATTGATACAGCATTTTTGAAACAGGATACTATTCTGTGTAACACTAATCAGAGTTGAAACTGAAGGTTCTAGTTTTTATTTTTGTTTTCTTCCCCTCCCCCCCTAGTTTTTCTCTATGCTGACACACGAACAGAAGTGATATGCAGAGAAATAGTCTGTGCATTTCTGTAATTCTCACTTCAAAATACATGTTCCTTGAAGGAAAAAAAAAAGAGATGAGAAATTCATTAGAGGCTAAGGAAGGAAAAGGAGGTGCTGTTAAAGTACCTTATTTTAAATAAATGGAGTACCAGCTTACTATTTAAGAAAATGAGTAGTATACTATTTTTAATGTGTACTTTGGTTTTCTGCTACCCGACCAAGTGACAAGAAAGTAAGGAATGTGATTAGCCAGATGACATTTGCATGCTGTAGAGAAGTAAAGGGAAGATGTATGGGTTATTATGCACAAACACTTTCAGTTCTGTTTAAACAGATGTGTATCCATGTTTCCTTACAAAAGAAGAAATAGTCATTACTATATGTGATGAGGTCAGAGATCCCATATGATAGTTTAAAACAATTACGTTATGTTAAGCAATGTTTTAACTTTTAATTTTCCTCCCATAAATGCACCACTGGCCTTTTTGCAGCTCATGCTGCAGTAACAGTTAATACTGATACAGTCATTATTTATCTTCCTGATGCTATGTGTCAGTTCTAATTTAACTTCTGATTGCATTTAAAACTACTTAGTCTGTGTCCATGCAACACTGTTTTACTAAAAGCACAGATTGAGCTGAGGATGTACAGTGTAACTCAGTTCTGCGTATTACAGGATGTAGAGCATTCAGCAAAGCTTAGAATATTTTGTCTTTAGATTAGATTTCAGTGGTTTAGTAGATTTGTCTTTGAGACTTAGTGAAACAAATCTGGAAATAGTAAATAAAAACTTAAATAAAGTTTTGAGATAATTGCATCTCTTAAGACCGAGGACAGATTTTGTGGTCTTGTCTCATAATCTTACGTGAACTTGCCACTTGGCATCTTTCTGTTGACTCTGCAGTTGAGATATCTTCAGGTTTTCTCCTTGAGATCCTTCTTTACTGAATGATTCTTCATGTAAAAGGTTTTCCAGGGAATCCTGGAAGGATTAAGTACATCCATTTTTACGCTTTCCCTATGAACACTACAAGGCTATAGTCTGATAAGTAAAATAGGATGACAGGCAAAAAAAATACAACACTGGGGAGAAGGAATTTGATCCAGATTTCCATCTTTGCTATAAATAGCCTTGCATTAATATAAATAAATTACAATTCTATACTTTGGTTGCTGTACTTTGATATAGGTTGAAGTAAATGGCTTCAGAAAGATGCTTCAGTAGAAAAACTTATGTACATATATATTTATTCATGTTAATATATATGCTTTTGTACAAATGTGTGTGTATTTTTAATATAGTTTGATACGGGAGCCAGATACTGCAAGTAGCAAAACTCTCTGTAAGTTCTTAGCCACTGAAAAAAGTTGTACATAAATTTTTGTTTTCATGTATTTAACAAGTGTGTTTGGAGAGGAAATAGAACAAAAGACAAAGACATAGAATAGAAGGTAAACTGTATTTTGCATACTTACTACATATTTTTGTTACATATTTGTAATTTTAGGAGGTTTAACATTTAATTGATTCTTTCTTCCAGTTATTGCAGCCAGGTACTCAGTAAAGAAGTTGACAGTTGTGTGACAGATCTCTTAAAAGAACTGGTTCGTTTCCAAGATCGCTTGTATCAGAAAGATCCAGTAAAGGCCAAGATAAAACGCAGGCTTGTTATGGGTCTCAGAGAAGTTTTGAAACACCTGAAGCTGAAAAAACTGAAGTGTGTCATCATCTCTCCTAACTGCGAAAAGATTCAGTCAAAGGGTAAATGTGGTTGTTTAATAAAAGAAATGTAAAAAGCAGATTCTGTATACTGGCAGCAGTATTATTTTTGGAGGAACTTATTTGAGTAGCCTTTGAAACAAGTCATATAAAGATGCCTTTCTTACTCAGATTGTTTACTGCTGTGCGGCTGAAGAATGAGCTGAATCAAGACTCTCTGGGGTGGTGGAAGTTGCCTGAAACTAGGTTCTGATTATTGATTTGCAGTGCAGCCGCATAAAAGATGGTACTGGTACAGCTGAGAAGAGACAAAGGTTACTGATGCCAGCTGTGCTACCACAAGAAGTCCTGCTCTGTCAGTCTCTTTCAGGATGCAGATTGACAATAAAGTTGTCAGTAATAGTTTGTGTAAAATCTGTGGTAATTATTGTCATTACTTTCTGTTAACTCTTAAATAATTTCTCAGCAACCAGGTCTTCTCTTTTACAAAAGTATTGAATTGGATTAAACTACACAAAGAGCAAAATACAGAACACAGGTAGTCTAAGGATACTGATAATTAATAATAAAAAATAAGTCAAATTCTCCTTTAAAATTCAGATCTAATGCTGTTATCCATGTATTTTTTTCCTATAAACTCTTTTAATTTCAAAGTGCCCCATAATCTTGGGGTACTTTTTTTGCTATCTTTTAACAGTACTGTACATTATTTATAATTAGCTTGAATATTGTCATTCTTTGCTAATTTTATTGTCTGCTCCAGGTGGGTTGGATGAGACTCTACACAACATTATTGACTGTGCCTGTGAACAGAATATCCCTTTTGTTTTCGCCCTTAATCGCAAGGCCCTGGGCCGCTGTCTGAACAAAGCAGTGCCTGTCAGTGTGGTGGGAATTTTTAGCTATGATGGGGCTCAGGTAAGCTGAAATATGTAGGTTCATGGTTTTGTTTAGCTTTACTTTTAACTGTAGAGGGGAGGAAAATACAATCATAGAATGGTTTGGGTTGGAAAGGACCTTAAGATCATCTAGTTCAAACCCCACTGCCATGGGCAGGAACACTTCGCACTAAACTATGTCGCCCAAGGCTCTGTCCAGCCTGCCCTTGAACACCGCCAGGGATGGAGCATTCACAACTGCCTTGGGCAACCCATTCCAGTGCCTCACCACCCTCACTGTGAAGAACTTCTTCCGTAGATCTAATCTAAACTTCCCCTGTTTAAGTTTGAACCCATTACCCTGTGTCCTACCACTACAGTCCCTAATGAAGAGTCCCTCCCCAGCATCCTTGTAGGGCCCCTTCAGATGCTGGAAGGCTGCTCTGAGGTCTCCACGCAGCCTTCTCTTCTCCAGGCTGAACAGCCCCAACTTTCTCAGCCTGTCTTCATATGGGAGGTGCTCCAGCCCCCTCATCATCCTCATGGCCCTCCTCTGGACTTGCTCCAACAGCTCCATGTCCTTTTCGTGTTGAGAACACCAGAACTGTACACAGTACTCCAAGTGAGGTCTCACAAGAGCAGAGTAGAGGGGCAGGGAGCACACCTTTGCCCTGCTGGACATGCTGGTTTTGATGCAGCCCAGCACACAGTTGGTTTCTGGGCTGCAAGTGCACACTGAATCCGGCTCATGTTCAGTTTCTCATCAACCAATATCCCCAAGTCTTTCTCTGAAGGGCTGCTCTGAATCTCTTCTCCACCCAACCTGTAGCTGTGCCTGGGATTGCCCTGAATACTGTGACTTTAAGGCTTTGGTTGGTTGTTTTGATATTGCACACTTTATGCCAGTTGGGGCAGAAGACCGTGGCTTATAATGAAAAACTGATTTAAGAAGTACAGCCACTCAGCACTGTTCAAAGAGGTAGTGTGGCCATCTCTTCCTGACAGCCTCTCCTCCAGGTAGATGTCTTTCTACACGTTTGTTGTTTTTTTGTTTTATTTTCAAGAGAATGGGTGTTTTTATAAATGCTTGTAAATGGGGTTTTGTATCTCTGTATGTATTTGGCTGCTTTACTTCTATATACAAACATACATATGTTCTGTGTAAGGAGTATTCATTATAGATTTTCATGGAAATGATAAAACTTACTATATGATTTAAGCTGTACTAATTTCTATATTTTCATAGGACCATTTTCATAGAATGGTACAGCTGACAACAGAGGCCAGGAAGGCCTACAAAGATATGATAGCAGCTTTAGAGGAAGAAGCTGAAGGAGGACCAAGAGAAACCCAACCCAGCATCTTAACCACTGAATATGAAAAAAATGGCTTATCAGAAACTGGCAAAACATCTTCCAAGGACTCTGATGAGGATGTACCAAATTATAGTGAGTATTTACTGACTTGGGTGTGGTTCAGTTTTCATTTGAAGTGCTCTTCAATTTTACGGTTTTAAGTGAAACAAATGATACCTGTTAACTTTAGTGGGTAGGACGGCTGGGAAATTACTCTTTTCTGTGATTTCCCACTGCCCATTGTAGCTTTATGAAAGTCATGGAGAAAATTCCTCTCTGAAATCCACTGATGGCAGGTGGTACTCACTGCTTTGTCCAAAGATATTTAACAGAGCTCCTTATTATTTCTATTTCTAAAAAAATTCCTCCAAGTTTTTTCTAGAAATACATACTCTGTAACTATGGTGGACTTACTTACTTACTTACTTACTTAAGTTTTGTGTTGAAGCATGTTTGAGATGCATCCTCCTGTCTTTAAGTGCTCATGTTTGTAAAAGCCTTCCACTTCGAGAAACGCATTCCTTCAGCTCTGCTCATTCACCAGGCAACGACAGTTACCACTGATACGAGACAACTTCAAACTTCTTTCAAAGTGTTGAAAACAGAATTCTGAGGTTTTTTTGAAGTTGTATCCACCTTCAGAGTTAGCCTTGCTTGAGTAGGGGGCTGACATAAAGACTTCAGTGGATCCCATCACTCCTAAAGTATTCTTTCATGTGTCATCTGATGTCACATGGTGCAACACACCAGAGTGACAACTTAGCATTTACACTAAGAAGGAAGTAGAGAATTAATGTGACTTTTCATTTTAAGTATTTCCTCAAGTATGATACAGTAACCTGTTTGTTTATTCTAATATTCCCTAGTTAAAATCTGGAGGAGAAAACTTGAAGAAGAGTATAACCCATACACACTGGAACTGGAAAAGAGTGCAGCAGCTTCTGAATTCACTATTACCATGTCAGAGCATCAGTAAAATCCAGGTCCAATTCTGTTGGGCTTTTAATTATATTTTTTCAGACCCCTAGGAAGAGGGTAGTAAAATAAAATAATCTAAGAAGTATCTGAAGTCAGCTAACTAAACAGTTCTGAGTCCCTCTAAGCAAAATAAGCACTGGAGCAAATGAGGCACTGGCTAATGCTTTTGTGTTCTATGTATGTGTTCGGTTGATCACTATAGCAGATGATAACAGCAAATTCTCTTAGCCCCAAACAACTTGGAGTGAATTTATAGACCAGCACTGGTTTGTTAGTGATGCAACATAGGAAAAGATTTTCCTAGAAGAGTAATTTTATTTGGGAAGAGATACTATAAGCCAGAAGGTTGGGACTTGGGATTTGCTTCTTGTAACTCTTGTTTAAAGAACTTCACCTGTTTTTTGTTGTTGGGTTTGTTTTTTGTTTGGTTTTTTTTTTCTTCTGAAGAAACCTGCTCAGGTGGGCAGGCTGGCATCAATGTCACCCTCCTCCAGTCAGCATAAAATGTGTTCTGGGCAGGCAGTTTGTTTGTTTGAACCTAATTAAGACCATCATGACAAAGTTCCCAGTCAGCTCTTCTTTGTGGTATATTTGTTCTTCTGGGATCATACAGCAGGTATAAAGGAGAGTATAAACTACAAAGTTCTGAAATGCCTGCGGTGAAAATGCTCTGTTTAGAAATTTGTGAAGTTGATTAACTGTACCACAATGATGTTTCTTTTGCTACTGAGACTAGTTTACCATGGGTCCTGCTTGAAGTTACAGGCTGTTTCCTGAAGGACAGCATTTGTGCCAGCCTGCCATCCTATCTATCTGTACCTTCTCCATACTGACAGACTCCTCATTCCTTCAGTTTGGGGTTGTGTTAGTACATATATGGAAAAGTTTTTGATTAGTATCAGATTGTATCTAAGGTAGGGAAAATTTGTATCTTAAAAAACAAAATGTGCTCATAATGATGGTGGAGCGCCTTTAGTGGGGATGTCCTGTGTAAATACCATTGTTTACAAGTTGCAGATATAAGAGAACAAGCCTCAAGAAAGTAATTGGAGGATGCACACGTAACTTGTCAGTTGTTCAGAAAGATGATAGAGATGCCTTGTGCTGCTGCCAGCATCTCTGCAGTGTGTCTAAGTAAGTGCTTCACATATGGAACATTTGTAGTGCAATACTTTGGAAAGTAGCTGCCTTGTGAAGTTAGAAGTGGTATAAAAACTTTGAATAATTTTGAAGTTCAAACAATTTTGTAGAATGTAAATTGTATTAAATCTGTTACAATATACTGATTCTATAAAGTATGGTTGTGACTTAATTGAACTCTTCCGGTGGGCATTTAATGATACTTGAAATGTCAGTTTTGAGGAGGAATGGTGGCAAGGGAAGTCATCCTTAACCTGAAATGCACAGTTGGTCACTGGTTATGATGATGATTTTTTTGTATTAGTTTCTTCTAATTTTAAATGGAAATTAAGAGTGAAACATCCCAGTGATGAAAGATGGTTTTGGCCAACGGCTATTGATCCAGAGGTAAGTTGTGATTTATTCATACTCCTACCACTTTGATACACATCTAAAACATTGAAACGACTAAGCCCAGACACTGCATGGAATGGGGGCACATTCACATGAACAGCTCATTTTTCCTTTTTGTTTTTTTTTTTTATTTTCTGTTACCTTCCTGTAGAAGAGCACGAAAAGTTGCTCTGGAAACGAAACACAAGTTGTTCAAAATCATAGGGAGTTATTTCTTGTTCTTAGAGTATAGCAAAACTTTTTACTGTTTTACTTCACTGCAGAGACAAGGCAGAGCTCAGCCATGCTCACTTAAAACTCTGATCTCAATCTTCCAAAGCCTTACCTTCCCACTTAGCACCACTAAACTAAACCTTAGCCTGCTTGAAATCTGTGGAACACATAGAGGAGGGACAACACAAGAAGGATCTTTTTATAGCTGTCACTGAGAACAGAAACACAATGTGGAGGAAAGATTCCCTCTGAATGCTGGTGTCAGAAGTCTGCATCAATTTGTGATTACCAATGTAAAAAATAGTGAAAATGGTTCATGTACACAAATTTTCATGCTGTGTGTAGTGTGTGGTCCGGTACTGGGGCTAGGGAGTATCATTCAGTTAAAGTCTGCGAGTGAGGAGAATGTTTTCTTCGATGTAGGAAACAACCTAGTTTAAATCTTACCTCTTAGAGGATAATCTAGGGAGAAGTGTAATGCTTCCTGCTATTGCTAGGAGCCGCTGTCCCCATGGGCTCAAGCTATAGTGATTCTTAGATGGCATCTTACTTGTTTCCAGATTGCTGAAAACCACTGAGGAGATAAGACCGAAAACTTGAATTATGCCTTAGACATTTCTTTATTAGATGCAGAAGGACAGAACTTTTGAACAGCAATGCAGGAAAACGGTTTCAATATGGATTAAATAGGCCCTCACATTTTCACTCTGCAGTTGTTCACTAGCAAAAGTCTTTGAATTAATTTAACATTTTTAACTTGGGTGTGCTGTAATCTCTCTGTATTTTGAGCATTAGTCAGAATTTCTTTATTTGGTACAGAAACTTTATTACCAGAAGAAATGTGTTACAAGAAATTAACTTGCTGACACCTGAAAGGAATGCTCTTCAAAACACTGGGAACAGAGTATAAGGGTAAACATATTAAAAGAAAGTGGGCAAGTTAAAATGCCTTTAAATAAATGTGATCCACATCTTATTATTCATCTCTAAATCATATGCCAAGATTCTTAAGCCCAAAATTAACTGGTTTGCTTAATGAACTCAAAACAGAAGCCAACATCATATTATATTGTTTCAGCAGCACAACTGTTACTGCGACCACTTTTGTTCTTCATTAAGCTGAAATAACTGGTATCAGAAAACCAGAGAGAGTTCCAGCATGGGATGAGTGGCACCTCTTCTGGCACATAACTTAGTTATTCTTTGGTGCAGTAAGGATAACCTCTTCCACCTCAAACTTCAGGTGATCCTCCTGTATAGCCATTTTAATACCAGCACTAGCAAAATAAGTGTTTGAAAACTGTGATATTAAAAGAATACTGGCTACACTTAACCTGCATACGTTTTTCCTTCAAGCCTGTTTGTTCCTTTGTTCATTAGAGGCTGTTTTTCTTGTTGCAGCTCTCCTGAAGAAGAAAAAAGTTCAGAATGATGTGTTAATACTGCTTTAAAAGTTAACATAGTGTTTAAAAGGTTGCCTGTACTAACTGTTCCACATGCTACAAACGCATCTTATCCAGAAGGTATCAAAAGTAATCTTTTGGTGATAAGTCTGTGATCTGTTCTAACTGTTGGAGAACAACATTAAAAGCTAGCTCTGGACTGCTTTTTTTTAAAGGAAGGCCAGCTTTGATGGAGAGTACCATTTTATGAAGTCCAGTGGTCGCTGTGATCCAATTAGTCTACAGATGCTGGAGTAACTGTAATAGATGTCGCAGGTCAAGTAGACTTTACTGCTTGGAGGGTCAAGAATGACAACATGTACAGGAACACGGACGACTTTGTTATGTAAATACATTTGGTTGGAGAAGCATCATAGGCTATCTATAAAATAGGGACTGTAGTGTGCCATGTGGAAAGCACTGGGGGAAATCTGAAAATTCTTACCCATGTTTTTCTCCAGCTTTGCATCATCTTGTCATGTTCACTGATGGCATTTCTCCAGGTATGGAATTCCTTGGACCATCCGTCCTGACCAGCACTATCTGAGAATTGTACATGGGGATGAAATAAGCGGATGGTATCTATTCAGTTACAATACTTCCTGTGGACTATTGGGCTAGAAGGGACGAAAGCCACCATTTTGTCCTTCATTTTGCTCTACCTCCTCTCATGATATTTGGAAGTAAGTTGTATAGAAATGGTTATGTCTTTTCCCTCTACAGCAAGCTTTATAGCCTCTAGAGTAAACAAACAGATTCAGTGCCTTTATCTGTAATCCAAGATATCTAAAAAATACAACCTGCAAGTTAGAGTTCAAACCCATCTAAGCAGCTCAGGAATGCTCCAGTTAGATCATACCATGCCTGGGGAGAAGAATGATATGATACAGCTGTCTGTGTGCAGTTTGTAGTTTCTTCATTTTTTGCTAATGATATGTAGTTACTCTTAAACACATTGAGAACTTAAGAAGGGCTGTTTGCTGCATCTTGGTAAAATTCTAACTCAGATTCTGTCTGCCAGTTTTTCTTGCAGAACGTAACACTGGTGGCAGCATACACAGATGTAATATTTTCTGTTTATCCTTCAGGACATGCGTGTCAGTATACAATACTTCTGGAGCACAATGAAAACCTCCTTCTGCTTTACATTTACAGTAGTTTCAGTGAGATGACCTTCATTCTATTACTGAGACAGCCTTCAAAGTAACTGGAGTGATGGCAAGACCAGTGTGTGACTCCTACTGCTTTTCTCTATCACTGAAAAAAAGAGGGTTGACCTGTTCCTGACAAGTTCATATTTACTAACCAGCTAATTATTTTTTCCTTTACTCTGCCAGCTTCATCACTGCTGCTGTCTTTCCAGACACTGTTCAGACTGTCTTCAGGCCTGGATAAGTTCTCAAAAGCTGGTTGCAAATGTTGCTTGAGTTGCACCGGTCAGTTGTGGGTACCTGAAGATCTTGCACAGCTGCTGAAGTTTTAGCTTTGACTTCCTGCCCTGTTACGTGCCCATAGCAAGCAGTAGGAACTGATCTCACCCAACTGCATGTAGTTTGCAGATAATGTGATTTTTTTACATCCTGGGTTTCAGTCTGGGGGTTTCTCTTTACCATCTTGACTTTCCTGGCATGAAAGAGTTTTTCTACTATTCCCCTGGAGTACCTGTTTTTAACTCTGTAGTACTCATCTGATTTCTAATCTGTGTCCATTAACTCAGCAGTTTTTGTTTCATTTCTAGAGCGTAACTGCTAATGTGCAGGTTAGTCCTTTGTAGAAGGAAGTTTGATGGCTCTAAAAAACTTTTCATAAA